GTCTCTGCGTTGTTTCCGCGACGAAACCCGAATTAAGGTATAGTGTGGCTTACCGTCTGCTGCACACTCTAACAATGCAGAAATTATGTAAGTTACTACGATATTATTATTAAAATAATAATCGGTATTAAAATTTTTATTAAATATTCCTCAGACACCGGTTCTTGTGACGACGGCTTGCGACGTTGACGATGTGACCCGAAAGTTAAAAGTGTTTTATTTAAACCGTGTAAGTATTTTACCACATATTATCATACCAGGTACTAGGTAGTAGACGCTTGCACTGCCTACACTAATATGAAATAAAATAATATATGAAAACGATTTCTACGGATTGAAAAATATTTGAAAAAAAAAATTATTCGTTTCTGGATGCTATTTAAAGCATATTTTATGGGCGCATCATAAACATATTCGTGTAAACACAAATCAACAACAACAAACAAAAATGCGTTATCTCAATAAACCAAATTGTTCAAGAGAGAAAGTTTAAACTTCAAACTTTTTTATCGTCTTCATTCAAAATGAACGATTTTTAATCATCACCGAATATAAATACTAACAAAGTTGTGCGTTAAGTCTTGTAATTATTTAGGTTTATTCTAAGCAAGACTGAACGTTGAAAGAAAAACGAAAGTGTCAACGGTTTCTGTTAAGGACCAAAAAGTTCTGCAGCTAGAATCTTTTGATTGTGATTAAATTTTTTTAATAGGTATAATATTTATTTATAGAGCTTTATTTTCTGTATTAAATGTAGGTAGGTATTTATTATGTTTTTCGGAAATGAAAATTCAGTTAAACAAAAAAGAATATAACGTGTAGTCAAAACCAACTTCATAATCATTTTATGGTACTATTATTCATATATTTTTTTATTTTGACGATAAATGTGTGTAATAATTAGGTAATAATATTGTATTATCACGTTATCAACGATTATGATATTATAGTAAATTCTTCGGTTATCGTCACTTTATTTTATCAGGTTGAAAGGACCTATTGGTTTCAATAATATAGCTAAATATACTGAAAGGATCTATTTAGGTCAAAAGTAAACAATACATTGACAAACACTAAATATGGACTATTGAGTACCTACCTATATTTCGAACTGTTTAGTTCTCGATAGGTATGACTTTTTACGATGTGCCTAAATTATTATTTATGAGTATGAATAACTATTATTGAAGTATTGATAACTAAACCTATTATCATGATGTAAACAGAATTTTCAAAAATCATGTTGGTGCCTTTTGTTGCTGATCCCACCTAACCTAATCCTATACCTACAAAGGCTGCCAGTATTTTCGAAATTAAATCACCTCTTTCCGACACATGCCATCAACGCGATAATGTTGGACACAAAACGTAGGTATGCAAATTGTATTTAATTATTATATTATATACCTTCGTTGTATCTTAATACTCACCTAGCTTAAGCTCACACATGTTAAGTGTTATATTATAATACTAATAAGCATTATTTATGCGTTTTTTTTTTAACACGGAGTATGATGGGAGTGCTTTAGTTGAGATATCACTCATTTTTTGTTGATACCTTATTATTTCGGGAACATATTTTTTTCTTTTTTTTTTTGGCATAATTAATAATATTAGAAATTAGTATTATTATAATTTTTTTTTTTTTTGTAGCATATTTAGGTTTTTGTCATGGGGGGAGTGGATATTATACAGTAGCCCCGCTTTTAAAGCTAGAGGCCATAGCCCTTAAGTTAGGAATCCAAAAAATTGTGCATATTATATACAGGCTAGGGGGGATTGATCCCCTTGATCCTCTCCCCCTCCCCAGTAAATATGCCACTGTTATATAGTAATGCGAGACTTGAGGAATATTATCCAATAAAATGTTTAAAATACGCTACAACAATTTATAGTTAAAATTATATCTATGTTTAAATCATTCAAAATGATTTGAAAACTACTTCATGCACTTCTACGTACAATTTCTAATTAGATTATTGTATTTTCAAACTTCATTATTCAACTACAAATTTTCCATTCTTTCTCGTGAAATTTGTACTTGAATAAAGCTTCCTGTAATAAATTATGGTCCTACAGTTTTGGCGAATATTTTCCTATATGTGTATTTTTAGTGTATTACTTTTCTTTTTATATTTATACTTTTTTTTTCTGTTTGAATTTATATATATACTTAGAGTGACATTGCCGTTTTGTTTGATTTGCTATTTATTAGCATTAAAATAATCCACCTTTGCATTAATGTAATAGTAGAGTCATTAGACAATAATATAATATCACATAATATAGATTTTACTCTGAATGTTTTATAATTCAATCATGTTGATAGCTTCATTTGTATAAGGTAATTGAACAGTTAAAAAAAAAGCTATTGAAAAATCAATATTTATACATGTATAAACACATCACTCACGTAGGCTTGGAGCAATAAGGTTCTTTAATGTTATGTAAATTATTTCCTCAATTTTAGAATATTAACACCTAAATACCTATTGCAGAAACGATCGATGCTGAAACATAACGAGATAACAACAACCGATTTCTAGTTATTCCGATCCTGTATGCCATAATAGCATAATATTCTAAACACACGGCGTTTCGCATTGGCAAACAAATAACTCATTATTGGAAATATAATCAAATTGTTTTGCCATGATAAACAATCATATAAACGCGCTGCAAACGCTACATAATATTATTATTAAACGTATTTTAACGGATGTAAAACAAAACGAAGCATATAATATGCTTATGAGATAAATTTAATTTCGAATTAATATCATATTATCGTCTTTAGAAAAAAACTGCCACAACTTACAATTTATGAATTTCGAATAATGACAAAATAACTCCGCAAAAATTCCACATTCGATATAGTTTTTAATTTAGCCACTTTTTTCCAAACTTTTTAGCCACTAAAAAGAGGTGTCAGTATTGAATTATTTAAACATTAGCTAATTTACATACCAAGAGTGTCATATTATTATATTTACTTATGTCAGTATATTTAATTTATCAACATATAATCACTGAAGTAAAAATTCAAGATTGCCTAATTTCGATTGTTGACGTTATTTTAAAATAAACAAAATCTTATCATCGTGTGATATTATGTTGAGTGCAAAACTACAATATTAAGAGTTCTGGCGGTAGATATTTCATTTTATGATTTGTGATACTTCAGCCATAATATGAAATTCAATACTGCCATATTATAGTAGGTATGTGGCTGTCTTAAAATCACTTTCTGTATGAAATTCAGCCATATCTCAATAAATATGACAGTCTTGCGTTTACTTAAAAAAATTGTAAAAGGCCACAAGTCGAACTTTAGGGTTCAAACAAGTATTCCATAATATTTTATAAAGGAATATTAAAAAGTATTTTTTCAAATAAATGTGTTTTCAGTTTCAAGTACATTACATACTAGTATACTATAGTATAATAATGTACCATAGAACCCTTTAAATATCTGGACTCAATCTTCAAATCGTTTTTTTTTTCAGAAACTATATATTCTGAGTCTTGTTCTAGAGGTACCAGAGCTACATAATATTATTATAGTATGTTATTATTTTGACTGAGTGATTTGAAATTTTGTGTCATACGTCTTAAATGCGATACATTTTATTTTTAGTTGCGTACTACATCGGTCAGAAGTGTTAAAAGAGCTGAAATAAAAGTTTATAACGTACGGTGTTCATAATAATTGATTTTGAGTTGTATCTGGGCGGTCACAGTGACTTGTGTGAAAATTTAATAATTGTATTATACGATTGAAACGAGTTGCAAACTCGTGTGACTTGAGTACGCGCTTTCCCATATCATCATCATTCAAATAAGTTAAAATGTTTTATTCTCAAAGTCCCACCGATTTTTATCTAAAAGTATAAGAAATTGTCTACTACCTACTTAGATCATCCACTTGAAATTTTGCTATAAGCTCAGGTTCAATTGTTTTATTGTTTATGAATTGTTGTTACTATACATACAAATATTTTTTACTTAGTTTTTTTCTTTTCTTTTGTATATCGTGAGTTTTAGTCGTATAGTCATTGTAGACGTATTTGTGACGTAAGAATACATCATATTCCTTTGTATTTATTTTCTCTCTCAGTTAAGTTAGGATAGGTTATATGAACATTTAATATATCAAAGATCTTGAAAAAAATCTTTTGATTTTATAGGAAATAGGAAAAAAAAATTTATTTTCTCGAGGATTGTAGTATTATTTGTATCAAATATCATGTCAAGACGCTGTAGTCTATATTACACGTCTCTTGTAAGAAAGTAAAAAAATAACTAGGTTAGGTTATTGTTTGACATAACGCGTAGCTACTGATCAATTTTTAACACAATATTATTACTCCATTTGTGATATATTATTGCAGTTTAGATAGGAATGTATAAATGAAAGAAAAAAAAACGGAAATCAAGAATAACACTTTATTTTAAAATAAAAAAAAATCATTGTTGTGTGTCCTCTGGTCCCTAATTTAAATCTTCTAATCAAATACCCTAAAAATTTAGAACCAGAAAAAAATTATAATCGGGAACAGTATCAGAAAATTAAAAGTACAAAGAATTGATTTCGTGCGAAAAAAAAATACTGTGAATATTTAAGAATCAACCAAAAGCAAAATATTTTTAATGTGATTATTAATGAAAAAATAGAAGGTAAATATTTTAAATTGACGAAATACCTAATTGAAAATAAGAAAATTTAAAAAACAAAAATCACATAAACAAATGTTTGGGGGGTAATACTGGTGTTACCTCCTCGTTGTGCACCCTGAGGGAATGTACTTAATTTACTTAATAAGGCAATTCATTTAAACTGAGAAGCACGCCATGGGCTTCTATGAAGTATTTTTTTGATTTGGGACGCTACGGGGCCTATACACAACATCCCACTAACTCGATAACCGGTGGTGACCGGGCCCACCGTCCAAAAATATTTATTAATCGTATATAAACGTCTTGACCGGCGGGTGTTGCAGGTGAGGAGGGCCAACCGAGAACGGCAGCGGCTGTCGCGGCTGCAGAAGAAGGAGATCGGGCTGGCCACCATGCTGCTGTGCGTGGTGGTCGTGTTCCTGCTGTGCAACGTGTGGGCGCTCATATCGAACGTCGTGGAAGCGTTCTACGGCATCACAGTTGACCAGCTGGTCAAGGTCAGCAACCTGCTGGTGACGATCAACTCGTCCGTCAACTTCGTCATCTACGTGATATTCGGCGAGAAGTTCAAGCGGCTGTTCTTCAAGCTGTTCTTTCCGCGGGGCGTGTGGATGTGCGGCTGGCACTTCGCCACCGACGGCCGCGGAGGCCCGGGCGGTGGCGGCGGTGGAGGTGGCCACGCGGCCATGGATGACAGCGAGGCCACGTGCAACGGGGCGACGGCGTTCGAGTGCAGGCAATTGGCCTCCGCGGCGGGTGGTTCCTCGTTGTCCGCGGACCACTTCAAGCGCTCTCACCGTGGCCGTCACCATCACCAGCACCACCATTACCATCATCACCACCATCACCACAGCAACCGGGACGGCGACCGTCTGGACCACCAGCAGGAGACGGCGGCTAACGGCGGCGGCAGCGTCGGCGGATGTGGTAACGGTAGTAACGGTGCATCCGACGACCGAGAACTCTGCTCGAAGACTCCAACCAACAGTGGTCTGATTTGGGAACACTCGACCACTACCACCACGACCACCGTAAACGTACATCAGATCTGAGCGTTGTCGGACTTGAATATTGTGTTTTCACTTTGTCATAGATGCGTCTAGTGTACTTTTATTTTTATTCTAACAAATATATCACGTTACCAACTAGATTAGGTCGGATGATGAGTAGGAGGATGAACACTATGATTGGGGGAAAGAGGAGGAAAGTCGGACGATTATGGTGGAAATTGGAGGGATGAAATATGTCATATTAGACGTTGACGGGAGGACATTATTACTGTTCGATATCTTACGAAAATTTGTTTTTTTTTTTTAAAACGTTCGAAATTTCATTAGGAAAAAAAAATTGGTCGACTATAATAAATATTGTATAATCGGAATGGGTTGTGCCATCGTCTTGATAGTCGATAACACGAAATATTGGCAACGGGTGATTCGATATAATATTTCATGTGGATAGGCATTTTTTTTTCACCCAACTTCGTGGTTCACTGAACGTCATCTATTTGATCGTGCCGCATTAAGATCATTATACGACAGCACCCTAGGGACGATCGCTGGCCATTGCGATTACATGAGAGATAGCGCGTAGTACCTACATACATGGTACCTACTATCGAGGCTGGGCAAATTATCTGATTTTTTTGTAACTTGTTAAGTCGAGTTGATTAAAGCCAAGAATAACGATTTTTTTAATTTAAAAATATTGCAAGTTAAATTAAAATTTAGTAACTTAGCGAAATCATTACAATTATTTTATTTAAACCAAATATTTGAAATTCGCTCCAAGGTACTTAAAGTAAATTTTATGAAATTATACCACAATATAAAATATAAAATAGGTATAACAATAAGTATGTATAACATAAGAATAGTTAACAGAAAGGGACGATACACTCTACTAACTACTTATATTAATTATTTATTAATTAGATGAATATTAACTAGGCTGGTTTATTTTTTTAGAGATCGTGACACTAACGTCTCTTAGCACATAAAACTGAGTTCTCTGATACCTAGTGTTATTGTCAAGACGTTTGAAATGAAAGTGCTTGGATGTGAATATATATAAAACTTTTCCATGGATATTTATAACAAGAAGTATTTATATATATATTATATATAATTTGAAATTCAAAAATAGCTTATTCGACAAATCGACATTCTACAATTTAGTATTCACAATACCAAATATAAATAATATTTACTGACTAAAAAAAATATTATAGTTTTTTTTTTTTACACATGTTTTTGGGCTGGATGTAAGAATTTGTCATTATAACTAACTCTGTGTAACACCTTGTTTATTTCCATAGAAATGCAAATCAACGATAATAAGTTATTGTTCTAAGCATTTTAGCATATTTTTCCTCTAACTACACTGTAATTATACCCAAAAACATAATAATATAGTAAATTATGATTCCTCAATTTTTCTTGCAGAGAAAAAATATTTGAGTACGGGGTTACCGGACTGGCATTTTGTTTGTGTCTATAAAAAGTAAAAACAATAAATTATACAAAACAAAATTAATTTGAAGTATAAAAATATGGTGTTTAATTATATTCGGAAACAATACTATGTTAACGGGACTTTACAATCAATTAACTGATTAATAACAAATTTTTACTCCAGTCCAACCTAAGTCCTAACTAGCTAGTTAAAAGTAAGTCAACTTAACTTTTTAACTCGGTCATGTCCAGCCTTGCATATTACGCTTCACAATCCGGAGACCACAAGCACGTGTGTAAAATACAATATGGTATTATAATTTTAATAAATGCTAGCGATGGTATATCAATTAAGTAAGTATGTTAAGTAGAATGTAAGTGAAGATTCGTTCGTTCAACATCGAACGGCTGAATTCAAGCTTAAGTCATATCTTCTAAGGCACCTGCCACTTGTCGGATGAAATCAAATAATCAGAAAAAAACAATCGTTCGGTATTTTTATAGCCACCGTTATTGTTATTAGTAATAAGCAACACGTGTCTCATTTTTGTAGTTTTCATTGTGACGTACGCACATAACTAAAATATATTGAACAATAATATTATTGAATTATAAATATTATAACCGTTGCAATAATTTTTCCTTTTACAGATCAAACGAATTTCATGAAAAATGTGGCAATTATATTTTTTTACTGTCACATGTACAAAATACGCGCCCATTCTGATGACTCCACTAGTTTTGCTTACATCCCAAATGACCTCACCGTTTCCACAATAATACAATATTATACTCTACGGCACAGCTGTGAAATCCGAATCCCGTGTTCGTGCAACTGAAAACAAATATTTTTTCTATTTTTTTTTTTTTTTCAAAGCGAAATCCAAAGACTTTCAGAAATTTTGAAGCGTCGTACAATATAAACTGAAATGCGGACGAACAGTTTCCGCATACCTATATAACACGTGGCGTATGTCAAAACGTCACTTGGGTTTTAATCTAATTTCCCGCCCGCAATCTGACCCCGAAACCAAAACGTACCAGTGATACCTAACGTGGGTAGATAGGACCTGAGGACCGACGAAGTGGTTCCGTCTTTTCATATCCAAACTCAATATTGAAATCCCCCTATGCATGTCAGCGATCGCGAATTCATCTAATATTATCATGTACCATATTATATTATTATTATTAAGTCGTATTTACGCATTATACCGATTTCCATGTATATAATTTGATTTGTGTTTGTATATATGTGTTCTTGTACCTACGTTAAATTGTATAATGACATGAGTGTGGGTGGATGGGTATAATACTGCGTTTTCATATTCAATAGTATGCGTCATGACGTTAAGGTTGCAAATAAAATGATGTCCTGAGTTTCGTTAAACTTGTTTTTAATTCGATATTTACTTTGAATACCTATTATACTTGTACGAAACTCCTATATTGATGTTGTCGTTACATTATTATTATCGTATTACGACGTATGTTATGAAAAAGGCTTGTTGTACCCGTAGTAATACAGAAAATACAAGACATTGATAATATCATCCGAGTCAATGTAAAATGTTCTGTATACAATATTTATTATTGATATTTTTCCTTTCATGTATGTCACTATGTATATTGTATAATATAGTTAATATAATATTTTTAAATATTGTGTTCAAAAAAAAAAAAAACTGTATACCATCATCATTTTTCTGTATTTTTTTTTTATATGTAAAAAATCAAAAGTATATACAAAATACTTATTTTTTTTTAATTTTAAATAACTTACTACCAACAATATTATGTCAAATATATGTATTTTATTGTACTTATTAAATAACATTAAAATATATATATTTATGTTTACAAACACTATATTTTAGATTTTTCTAATAATATTTGTAGCTAATTTATATATAGATAATATTGGCTTGGAGTACATGGTAAATAAAGTGAGTGGACAATTTATTTTGAGACTGAAGAAGAAGATTATCAGATAATAGCGTATTAGAAAAAAGATTGAGAAAAATATAGGATTAAATTGATTGAAATTGATCAAAACAAAGATGACTATGTACATACTAGATAGTAATGTGGACTTCAAACGATCAATCTACAAATCACTGGGAATCATGGAAAAACTAAGTGGTGAAAGTTGTCTGATAGGTAGTACAAATATAAATTTCGCGATTGCGCGCAAACCTATTGGTTTAGGATTGTGTGTGTTAAAATAAATACTAATACAAGATTGTACAATGTTACCAAATTTAATAAAACTATAATATGAATTCTAATATCACTATTCACTATATGATCGGTAGAAATGTAATTTTTCATAATGGATTCAATAAAAGAAGTGTGGTCTATTTTGTCAGAAAAAAAATTACAAGTTAATAATTTTAAATATCGGTTAATTAATAAAATAAAAGACAACTTGATAAAATGGAGGTGTGCTAGAAAAATGTGTACAGCTACTTTACAAGTTTAGATACTAAATTGGATAACACAATCATATCAACAAATGGCAATCACGACCGTCGACCAACTAAATTAAACATTTAAGGGTTGAAAATTAAAAGTTTTTTTAATCATTCAGTTCTGTGCTTATACCATTACGCCTAATCTTTAAACATCGCAATTCTATTGTCCCGTAAGTATATCAGAGACTGAATAATATCCATCAAACGTTTGTAGATTGTAAAGATTGGAATTCATTTAAGTTAATGTTTTGAACTTTGTATTAGACCCTGATTGTTGCTTGTACCAGAACTGAAAGTTTAACGGCACAGGTCATCGAAGGACAAATCTGCTGTTTATGAATTAAGATTTTGCTTTATAGATATAGGTTTAAGAATAAAAGCCTTAGTTTGTGAATTCTATAAAGCTCAAACTGCATAAAAAAACAACATCAATACGGTTCTAAAGCACTTAGTATGGAAACCTTTGCTAGACATAATTACATGCTAGGGTTAAAATTCTTAAATTGCTAATAGATGACAAAAGTTGATTATCCACAAGTTTTATAAACTTCAGAGTCCCACGACGATTTTCAAAATCAAACACCCTTTTTTACATTCCTCGTTGCAAATCTCATTATTTAGTGAATGAACCAGAGTAATGTCTCTTGCCAATGTTGACGAGTCCCTCCTGTGTTAATGTTGTGTCTATTTAATGTACGAGTATATCTTATAAATGATCATTACTTGTAATCACATTCAATTTAGAAGTCTGTTTATATTTTTTTATTAAAAAGTGCTAGCCCGTAAATACATAAAGTAAATACAATTAAATACACTGAATATTATACAAAACACTAACTATATAATTCAAGATGAAAATCCATCCAAAAATTTTCATTGAGTCGTTTTGAATAATATATGTATAATTAAAGATTATATTTTGAATAATATGTAACTTATTTAATTTATTTTTGAAGCATAAAACCGACACAGTTAGAACCTAAAGAACACCTTCACCTTCATATTCACCGTCTTGTCACCTTCGTGGAAGCATATATACCTACACACCATATAGAGCTTCCTGAAATAAGGTAAGACTTAAAGGCTTATATTATATTTTAAATTAAACTATTCAGTTGGCCACAG